CTCCGCCGTCATCAGTGAAGCGATCACGTGGGTGAATTGGGGGGCGGATCACCCGGAGCCCTGCTAGGATGGGACAGGCACGCGCAATGTTTTGCTCTCTATGTTTTGCTCTCTCTGGGGGAAGGCCCAGGGTCAGGGGCTCGCAACCTCTGGGGAGCGTCAAGGGAGGGGAGGGGAGGGGAGGGGAGGGGAGGGGAGGGGAGGGGAGGGGAGGGGAGGGGAGGAGAGGCGGCTCTCAGGGTTGAAGGTTGTCTTTGCGTTTCGATTGGTTGTATTGTAGATGCATCTGATTTGTTGTTCTAGTCTTGTTTGTGCTTGTTGAGCTCCATCCTTGCGATGCTTTCCAAGTGAACCTCGTCAGGTCCGTCGGCCATCTGGAGGGTTCGCGCCTGCTCGAGATGAGGGGGTGTGGGTCAAGATGTGCTGATGTTACCTGAGCGTAGAGGAAGGAGAGAGGAAAGTCGTCGCAGAAGCCTGCGGCTCCATGCACCTGCTGCACGTGAGGGAAAGAGAAGCAGAGAACCCTCGCTCTAGGATGAGGGGGATGGAGAAGGAGGAACGACAACAAGGCGAAGGGAGAGCAGGAGCAAGAGGAGCAGTAGGGTGATGAGGGACTGAACCTGCATGGCTCTGTCGGTGACCCAGACTGCCATCTGAGGTGCCGCGACCTGCAGGGCGTCAGGGACTCCTCCTCCTCCTCCTCCCGTCACCTTGATGAGCGCGATGGCCTCCCGCGCTGCCTTGGGTCCTCCCATGTCGATGGCACGAGCGGCGTCGAGGCAGAGGAGTCGAGTCTGAGAGAAGGTGAGAGGCAGGGAGGAGAAGCGGAGGGCAGCGGCAAGAGGAGACCTGGTTGATCATGAGCCTAGCGCGAGCGATGTCAGCCCTGATGGTCCCTTGTTCCTCCAGCTTCTTCCCGAAGGCGACTCGTTGCTTGGCTCGCTTGCACATGAGCGCCAGCGAACGTTCAGCGAGTCCGATGAGCCTCATGCAGTGGTGGATGCGCCCAGGCCCGAGCCTGCCCTGCGCGATCTCGAAGCCTCGACCCTCGCCGAGGAGGAGGTGACTGGCGGGGACTGAGACGTCCTTGAGCTCGACCTCCGCATGGCCGTGAGGAGCGTCGTCGAAGCCGAAGACTCTGAGGGGACGGAGGACGCGGAGTCCCGGGGAGGGCATGGGAACGACAACCATGGACTGCTGCTGGTGACGAGGAGCCGACGGGTCCGTCTTGCCCATGAAGATCATGACGCTGCATCGCGGATCCATGGCGCCTGACGTCCACCACTTCCTCCCGTTGAGCACGTAGCGATCGCCCTCCCTCCGGATCGTCGACTGCACGTTGGTGGCATCGGAGGAGGCGACGGCTGGTTCAGTCATGGCGAAGCAGCTCCTTGCTTTGCCGCTGAGGAGGTCGGGGAGGAACTTGCGCTTGAGCTCTTCGCTCCCGTACTTGAGCAGCACCTCCATGTTCCCTGTGTCCGGCGCCGAGCAGTTGACCAGCTCGGATGCGAAGGGAACCGCCCCCAGCACCTCCGCGAGCCCCGCGTAGTCGACGTTGGTCAAGCCCGCGCCATCATGTCCGGGATCAAGGTCGCGCGTGATCCAGAGGTTCCAGAGGCCCCTCCTCTTCGCCTCCTCCTTGAGCTCCTCCACCTCTGCCGGTACCGTCCAGCGCTCCTTGCCCTGCGCATGGCGCATGACGCTCTCCTCGGCCGGATACACGCACTCCCGCATGAACTCCTGCAGCCGGCGCGCGATGTCCCGAGCTGCTGGCGTCGCATACGCGAAGAGATCG